AGGGGCTTGGAGCAACCTGGTCTAGTGGAAGGTGTCCCTGCGCATGGCAGGGGCTCAAAGTGGGGTGATCTTTAAGATCCTTTCCATCCCAAGCCATTCTGTGATTCTGTGATTGTATGACCTTCAGGGTGAAGGGGGCAGCTGCTCAAGGTGCCAGCAGGTATCAACAGCTGAGTAAAATGAATAAAGCAAGAGCAAACAGAAGCTGCTGGAAAGGCTCCTGCTTCCTCGACTGAATCAAATCCTTAGAGAAGCTCACTAATGAATGCACATCAAGTCAAAGAATCCTTCCACTCCAGCGCTACCGACTGGTTTATAACAGGCAGCAGGTGAAAGCAAGGACCTTCTCCTGTCTGCTGTGAGCAAAGAGTTCTCAAGCTGAGCTGTTGGAGTGAACCCATGAAGGGGTCGAGCTGCTTGTCAGAGGATGAGGCCACCCCCAAAAGCAGGAGCAGCAGCCTATGGCACTGGGAGCGCAGTGTTTTGTTCATGCTGAGCACAGACACAGAGATGGGTATTGTTCACCAGCACCCCATGAGCCGAAACATCCACAAGCCACATAAAGAGAAAAAGCTGGATGTGAGAAAAAGGGAAGCAGCATGGCCCTCAGAGAAAGTCACAAGGCGGAGGGATGTTTTTCCTAAGTTTGGATGGGATAAATGAGCTTGAGCAGACCACAAAAATGAGGAAAAACTCCTTGGCAAAGGTCTTTCTCACCAGCGTTCGCCATGATGTGACCAATAAAGGGGGAGGGATAATGTGCTTGCAATATCTGCATTTGCTTTGTTTAACTGACAGAGGCTCCACAGAAAAAAATGTCCAGATCCCTGGCTTTCCACAGGCAGTACATGCAATAGGCTCTTCCTTTTTTTTTTTTTTGCAAAAAAGATGTGGCGAAAGCAAGGTAAAGTAGATAGAAAAGATGAATTAAAATAGAAATCACTTCTTGATTTCAACTGTCATTTATGATTTGGCCGCTGAGAAAAACAGATACTCTTCCCATCTTATCAGCAGCGCTGAAACCTGCCACATTTTTGCTGGCTTTGGCCTCTTTCCTTTGGGTATTGCTTTTCCAGCATCCAAAACAGTTACAAAAGCTACAACAGTTGGAAAATGTGGATTCTTGGCTGGCTTTGCTAAGCCTTGAGAAAGGAGAGAACAGAAGCATATGGAATTGATGGAGAATAAGAAAAAACCTTACAAGACTAGTAGCAATCATAGAATTCTAGAATGATTTGGGTTGGAAGGGATCTTAAAGACTATTTCATTCTACCCCCCTGGCATGGGCAGGGACACCTTCCACTAGCCCAGGTTGCTCCAAGCCCTGTCCAGCCTGGCCTTGGACACTTCCAGGGATCCAGGGGCAGCCGCAGCTTCTCTGGGCAACCTGTGCCAGGGCCTCACCACCTTCACAGCCAACAATTCCTTCCCAACATCCCACCTATCCCTGCCCTCTGGCAGTGGGAAGCCATTCCTCCTTGTCCTGTCCCTCCAGGCCCTTGTCCCAAGTCCCTCTCCAGCTCTCTTGGAGCACCTCTAGGCACTGGAAAGGGCTCTAAGGTCTCCCAGGAGCCTTCTCATCTCCAGGCTCAACAACCTCAATTCTCACAGCCTTTCCTCATAGCAGAGGTGCTCCAGCCCTCTGATCACCTTTGTGGCCTCCTCCGGACTCGCTCCAACAGCTCCGTGTCCTTCCTGTGCTGGGGACTCCAGAGCTGGGGGCAGCAGTGCAGGTGAGGCCTCACCAGAGCAGAGTGAAGGGGCTCTCTTGGAGCACAAGGGGAAGTTGTGCCTCTCATTTTGAGCTGTGTTGAGGTCATAGAAGAGGCAGCAGGAAGGAGAGACACTTGTGCTTGGTGACTCTTACTGGGGTCTCTCTCAGATACGAGGCAGTGAAAGGTCCAGTACTGGCACCTTGACACTCGTTATGGGCCCAAGACTTCACGGATGTGGAAACCACGATGACAAAGCCTGTCCACTGCCATCCTGCCTCCCACCAGAAATGTCCTCTTTATTTTCTTAAGGATCTGAACAGGAAATTAGGGACAAATAGACCCTCTGCTTGGAGTTTTCTCTGCCCAGAGAGCTTAACTGCAGCATATCCACTTTGTCTGACTGTGCTTTACCTCCCCAGCACACAACCTGGAATCCTGGCCGCCCACTCAGGCCAGGAGGGGTTAGAATACAGCACATGGTTCTGATTTTTCTCTGCCTCCTCCATCTCCCATCAGGAACTGCTGACTTAAAATGACTGTAAAAAGAAGACAGGGCATGGGACATCACTGCCTGAATACAGATGTTCACATCGTTAAACCTGTCATTACTCTGCTGCTCAGTGAGCCGATGGCAGTGCTGACACCAGCTTTGGATGTGTGAAACTGTTACCAGAACCTCCCTCATGAAATACAAATCCTGTGCAATAACCAGGTCCCAATAATCCTGTGCAATAACAAAGTCCCACAGCACAAACAAACCCTCAGATCAGGGCGTGGAATCAGATGCAGTGAGAGTGACACCAAAAGTTTGCCTCTCCCTCACCCACCCAAAATGCCATATCTGTTCTGAACCAATATGGGAGGGCAGCTGCCTCTTTTCCAGTGCAAGCACCTGTTTGGGGATTAGGGAAAGGATCATTAAAGACAACACTGGCTTGCAGATCCACCCATTCCAGCCTGCTGCACATGTATATGACTGTAAGCTTCTAACTCACACAGTTCACCTGGGGTGAGAGGGCTACCGTGACCTGGGGCTTAAATAACCACCCAGCCTTTCCCTGGAAGCCTTTGGAATACTCTGGAAAGGGGTATGATTCAACCTTCTGAAAACACTCTGACAGGTTTTGGTTACTGCATTTATGCCAGCCCAGGCACAGATCCACAGGTCAGAAGCAGGAGGAATCCAGTCCCCTGTGCAGCCACATTGTCCCCAGCAATGGCACCCAGGCAGGAGGTGATGGAAATATTTATATGTCGCCATGCATTATATAAATGGACATTTTTGGCACTGTACATTGATGTAAGTGAATGCAAATTGATGAGAGGCAAAAGGTTTGTTTCATGGCTAGATGGTTGTCTACCTCTGCAAAGAGACGGGGGAAATTTCTTCGAGTGGCCTTTTAAATAATCCAAGTCCTTGGAAGTTTTCTACCACAGTCAGGTTTCCTACCAGAGTCAGACTTTCTACCACAGGGAGATTTTCCACACCAGATGCTTGTTCTTTTTTTTTCTTTTTGATCCCCCTGTAGCATATGAACACAGATGGTCTTGTTTCAGCCAATAAGATCTTGGAAAATGTGAAAGCTAAATAATTTAACTGGAAAGAGCTCTCTCTCCGAGGCCCCTCTCCTGACTTTCCTTGCCAGGCTCTTTACTACTTGCTAAAATAGAACTTCCACTATAAATAGGAAGATCTCCTGCCTGCCCCACTGGCCTGGCTGTAGGAACAGTTGGCTTTCAGTCCCTCTCAAAACTACAGTTCAATCCATCTTCCTGCAGTGACACCAAACAGATCTTCTAACGGTGCGTCAGAGGAGAAGTGAATAAATCTGGTGCTGGAGGCAGAACAAAATATCTGGAATATTCAGCAAGGAGCAAACCCAGAGTGTCCCGAGACCCACAGAAATTGGGGTCTATTGATGAAAGCACTTCCACACAATGAATAAAATGTGGTGTATTTATAGCTGGAATGTGGTCCTGGCTGTCACCTGACCGTCCGACAGCCCCAGACAGATGACAGCATGGTGACTTTGGCTGCCGTGGCTGCCTTCCACAACCCTCTGCACAGGGACACAGCACAGCCACAGGCAGCGACGATCCCATTTTACCTACTAAAACACGAGTCACGAGGACATTCCCTCAGGAATCAGATGATCCGAGGTCACTCACCTACTATCAGGTGACATCCTACAAAGACGTAACGTCTGCCCCTCTGCAGATACGTGCAGGCTTAAAGGTCTTCTCAGTCAGACACTATTTCAGTCGGGCATTTAAGAAATTATCTGACTTTATGCGAATATTTCCACTGCTGCTCTCATGCTGGGAGTTAAGTATGTCCCTCAGTACTTCCATCAAGGATGTGATGACGAGCACTGCTACTATGCTTTCCTAGAACAGCCTGTACAACAAGGACTAGGGAATATATTTTATATCTCTTATGATTCATCGTGTGGAACAGTCACCTCAGGTTTGAGCCAGAAATACATCCAGTGGATTGGGATCAATTGACAATAATAAACGTTTGGGAGGGGAAAGGCTGAACCCCAGAGAGCTGGGGAATTTTTAACCCTGCTGAAATCAATGGCAATACTCACGGTGGTGTCAGTAAGGCCAGGATTTCACACACGATCACACTGACAGTGACCTCAAAGTCACTTTTAGTGCCAAGTGTTCCCAAGGTCCTGCAATTCCAGCACTGCTTTTGGGTGTTATTATGAGACAAAACATTTGAGTGTAACCCTCCAGGCCTCGTGACTCTGGCCCTGAGGGCATTAAAGTTTCTTTTTTCCTCATTTGACCCTGCTCTCTAGATCCTCAGCTGTGAACTCTAGCACAGACCCACACCCCTACAAAACCCTCCCCTCCCTGGCCCTGCGTCCCGCAACCATCTCCCAAGTGAATTTTTCTTTGTTCCTTTTTAATCTCTACTTGCAGAAGTTTTCCACAACTAATAACCACCTCTTGTTCTTGGCTTTTTCAGTCACTCACCAGATGGGGAGTTCTGTGCAGGATAAAGGGTTTTTCATTTTCCTTTGTGGTGAAAAATGCTCTGTGCTTCACATCTTTTCAGATGCCCAACAGCAAGGTGGGTGGGAGAGACAGTGACCTCTTACTCTTTGCCTCAGCATTTACAAAAAGGAACCAGCTTTCCATTTTCCCAAAGTTCTGTGACGGTCTCCTCCAGAGGGACTTTCTGCTTTGCCTCTTGGCTCAGTGGTTGGCACAGTAAGAATAGAGAGTCCTTGTTTCCAGCTTTGATCCTGTCAATTCCACAGTCAACACTGACCAGAATGTTACACAACATCCCTCTCTTTGTCCTTACAAAACTATCTGTGTCAACTTCATTTACTGTTCTTGGATCTACAAAACTAATTTGCCCCTTGTGTGCCCACACTCTCAGTATCTCCTTTGGAAGAAAAACAACAACAACAACAGCAACAACAAACATGGGAAGAAATAAGCTTACTCTCAGATTTTATTTTTATGGCTTTGTCTAAATGAAGGACTTGGAGAACGTGGAGCTTCAAGGAATTTTTCAAAGAATTTCTGCATCCTGTCACGACTGGTTGAAAACACCAGAAGTACCTTTTCACCACTATTTTCATCCATCTACTCTCTATCCCTAGCAAGGGAAATAAATCAATGATAGCAATCCCTCTAACACTGGGAACTGTCCCAATCCCAGAGCCAAGAGACACGTGACAAAACCCACTTGGAAGAGTAATTTGTAAGGAAGGGACGTATTTTAGAAATGAGATGTCATCATTTAAGGGACAGTGTGTACACAGGGCAGCTGCTGGCATCTTGGAGACTGGCTACATCAATGTTCTGTGAGAAGTACCTGGGTTTGCAGGACTTTAAGTATCTGAAGGAGGGTGTCAGAGGATGGACCAGGCTCTGCTCAGGATGCCCAGCAATAGGACGAAAGGAATGGGCACAAACTGGTGCCCAGAAGTTCCATCTGAACCTGAGGAAGAACCTTTTTCCTGTGAAGTGACTGAGCACTGAACAGATTATCCAGAGAGGATATGGATAGTCTCCCTCACAGGAGATATTCCAGAACTGTCTGGACACAACCCTGTGCCATGTGCTCTGGGATGGCCCTGCTGGAGCAGGGAGGTGGGACCAGATGACCCACTGTGGTCCCTTCCAACCTGACCCATTCTGTGATTCTGTCACTCTCCCTGGTGCAGGACACACATCTCAAATGGCAAACACATTTATGAGAGAGATATTTTAACCACCTCTCTGAGCCTACCTTGCAGCTAACTTTTCTTTAACACTCCCCAGAAGAATGCTGAAGGAGTCTTGGCTAAAAGATTGAGCACAGTCCCTCCATTTGATGCTATTACATCTTTTACGTCTTTGCCCCCTTGATTCCAGGGGGATGTGTGCAGGGTCGGGATTTTTGGGAGCAATAATTAATCTCCCATATCTCCCCGACAATATCATTTTCTAGACTCACCATCAGAAACCCTTCCCTTATCCCATCAACTTTGTCATATTCAACAGGTTACTCCACTTTCATTCTTTCCTGCAAGGACAAAGTCCATACCCATGGAGATGCAGAGGGAGATAAGAGGAGCCTGGAGGAGATGTGGGGGCTGAGCCCACACCAGCAGAATGGCTCCAGTTCAGTCTTTTTTTTTTGCCAGCACCACCAGCAACCTGCCTGTGCCTGGCTTTCTGTGAGTCTCACCCACACAAAGGTGAACACTTCACACCAGGACTTCGCCAGATCAAAGCCTGAAAGGGTAAATATTTCTGTCAGGGATCATTACTTTGCTTTCTTCCTTTGTTTGCCCTGGAACAATGTGGGGAGGGAAAAAAGAAGGCAGAAGAAGTCTGTACAATTTAACAATGCTGCATTGAGAGAGACAATATCTGACATCACAGAAATGACCCTCTCCTTGCTCCCCAATTCTTGTCTTTTAGAGAGAGGGGGACATTCTTCTGCTTCTTGCAGCAGGGGTGAAGGAATGTGGATCTGTGGCTTTGGAATAACATTTTAGATCTAGTGAAAGGCACTTTGACCTTGGCATAAGAACTGTACCAATAGTGCTGGTGTTCAAGGAAAAGAAAAACATCAAAAACCAGACAAGCCTCCCATGTCTGACAATAGGGAAAACACTCACAAATGGGATTTTTAAGCCAGTTGAACAATATCTCTTCTAAAAAAGCCACAGAGTTAATGTCCCCTGTGCAGAAAATATTTTAGAGCTCTGCTTAATTTGATGAACAGTATTTTAGCAGAGTCCAATTACTAATACTCCCTGTGTTTCCAAATATATTTGGGTACCTGTAAAACTGGAAAAAAAAAAAAAAATTACACAAAACCAAACAAAAAACTAAAGCAGAAGTGTTTGATAAATATTTCCTGTCTGTATTTGGGACAAAGTTAAATGTCATTTCCAGAGTGCCATTTCCATGTTATATAATGATGATGAAATGATTCCTATCCAAGCAACTTAAAAAAGAACATCAAAAGCACCACTAACATTTTAAAAACAGCAGGTCTAGAGGATGGTGTGTCATCATTTTAAGAGCTGGTTCTTCAGATGACTGTTCTCACACAAGGTGGGAATGTGAGAGTTTATAAACAGCCCAGGAGACCATTTCTAAGGAGAAAAACAGCTTTGTGTCAATATTTGAAGAGCGTGACTAAGGGAAGTGCAGGTAATTTCAGTCTGGCGAGTCCAACATCGCTCCTGACCTGGCTGTAAGGAAGTGGTTTGCACCAGTTAATAAGGAGATGGAGAGTGGGGATGTAATGGAACAGCAATCAGCAGTTTTTGTGGGAAATGGTTCCTGTCAAAGAACAAACTTCATCTTGTTCTTTAATAAAATCACGAGTACAGCTGATAGCAGGAACGGTGTTGACTCAGTGCTGTGCAGTACAAAAAAAATACATACAAAATCAATACGAGTGCATAACAAATGGTTTAAAAATAGCTGTTGGAAAGATCTTAAAATGGCTTTGTAATAAAGGATTCATCAATGAATAAAAGCTGCTTCTAATGGACTCTTGCAGGCACTTGCACTTGTGCTACTCACTGTGCTGCAAGAAAACACAAGATGATCACATCATTTGCAAACTGTGAGAGTTTCAAAACTGTTAAGTAGTTTCATTACTTAAAATTGCACTGATGGGAGTAGCTCGTCTTGTAAACAAAGACTGATGGGATGAGGGTAATCACGAGAACTTGGTAACGTGAGTTTAGAATCACAAAATCATTACATATTATTATATCTACTTTCATGGTACCTTTTCCTCTTGGACAAAGGGAGGTCCTTGGGAGCTTGTCATGGTGCCTCTTAACTCTTTTCCAGGAAGTTCCCAAATGTATTAACTCTGCAGAAACAAAATATGGAGATATATATATATATATATCTCCATATATGTGTGTATGTGCATATACATATATAAATATAAATATATATATATATATATACATGTCTTCTGTGAAGGTCTCATGATAGAAGGATCACTGTATCCACCACCCTTAGGCATAGAATAGGATATCCTGAGTTGGAAGGGACCCACAAGGATCTGTATGGAAATTCACAGTGTTACATAAATAACATTTCAAAAGAAAGGTAAGTTAGCTTTAGAACTTCCACATTTATTCCACTGTAAGGAAACGCTCTTCCTCTGATGGTAAATGAAGTTTATATTTTTGGTCTTATTTTTAATTTCTTGTAACGCTGCAGTGATGGAACTTGAGTCCTGTGTCATGCCAGAAACTTTCAAGCTGCTCCACATCTGTGAGCTCAGAGCTGCTAACAGAAAAAAAGGAGGAAATACTCCATTTTTGACCTCAAATGAGAGAGGTCTGGGCTCACAAATTTCTTCACAGAAGGGTAACTAAATGGTCTTTAAGATCCCTTCCAGCCCAAACCATTCTGTGATTCCATAATCTGAAAGAATATATAAAATAAGTAAAGAAAATTTGAAGTGCCCCTTCTTCATTTGGACAATCTTCCCTGGATGTCAGACAAGGAGCAAAAGGAGGGAGAATTTGAGTAGGATGATATGAAGGGTGAAACACTTGCTGAAGGAGAGAAGATGGTGAAATCCCACTGGCTTTGACGGAAACAGGGATAAAAAGTCAGAATCCTACAATCTGTGTCTACAAAGCAATCTACGAGATAGCTAACGTTCCCTTTTTCTTCCCCACTGTGGAGAAAAATCTGGGACAAGGCTTCAGAGTGAAATTACCCTGTGCAGTTCATTAGAAATGCAAAAGATAAGTCAAACAAACAGATCCTATCCCTTTTGGTAGAGCAATGGGACCAAACACCCCAGCACAGCCTCCTCCCCTGGCTTCTTGTTTGTTCCTTGTTTATCTCCTCTCTTTTTCCTCTGTTTCTCCAAACATGCAGAAAGCTCCTGTGGTTGAATTAACAATGTTCTTGGAGCTTTAAGGATTGAAGAGTGCTGCTGATGCATCCAAGGATCCATGTGCAGCCTTTCAGCAGGATTTTAATGACTCAGGGAAACACCATTCCAGCAGCAGCGAACACTTCTAAAAGCTTCACCTTCCCTTCCAGCCTGAACTCAATCTGGCCTCTCTCTAGGTTTTAACACACTCCATTAACAGGATTCCCCAGCTGAAAGCAGACATAGGAGGTAGGCCACAAGCCTATTTTTGGACATCCAACCCCATGCAATGCACAGAAGTTCCCTTGTCAGTGCAGACTGTAGGATGGAGACAGGCAGAATGTGTAGGAGAAGGGGGAATCAGGGAACACATGCTCTGTACTCTGGGTTTTTTCCTCCCACAACGGACACTGGGACTGTGAGGGGGGGTTGCTGTAAATCCAGAAGGAGAATGACACACACAGACATTTAGGGGTGTGGCACACAAATGTATCCGATACTCACACACACACACAACCCTTTCAGGTGGGGTGAAAAACCCCACCATCCCCCACAGGCCTGCACAGGCAGTTGGGTGCTTTGAGTAATTCACAGGCAGAGGTGACATCCAGTCATCCCCCTTCCCCTGCCCTTGCCTTAGGAAAAAGCGTGTGTGTGTGAGTGTGAAGGTGGGGTTGGAGGTACAATCATCACACAGCCACAACCCCTGTCAGGCTGTTGGTCACAACAACGCCCTGGAGTGCCACAGCCTTGAGGCAGAGTGGCTGGAAAGCTGTCCAGTGGGAAAGGACCTGGGGGTGCTGGTTGACAGCAGCTGAATATGAGCCCAGGTGTGCCCAGGTGGGCAAGAAGGCCAATGGCATCCTGGCTTGGACCAGGAATAGTGTGGCCAGCAGAACCAGGGCAGTGATTGTCCCCCTGTTCTCGGCACTGGTGAGGCCACATCTCAAATCCTAGTTTTTTTGGGCCCCTCACGACAGGGAAGCCATTTTAGTGCTGGAGCATGTCCAGGGAAAGGAACGGAGCTGGGGAAGGGTCTGGAGCACAAGTCTGATGAAGAGCAGCTGAGGGAGCTGGGGAGGCTCAGCCTGGAGAAAAGGAGGCTCAGGGGGGGAACTTCTCACTCTCTGCAACAGGAGGGTGGAGCCAGTAGGGGTTGGGATCTTAGGCAACTAGTGGAAGGACAAGAGGAAACAGCTTCAAGCTGCATGAGGGAAGGTTTAGGTTGGACATCAGGAAGAATTTCTTCATGGAAAGGGTTGTTAAGCACTGG